TAGGGACGGCTAGCGCAGATAGCCCTCGTGTAACTTTGCGCGAAATTCAAAAAACAAACAAACAAACCAGCGTTGTAAGTCCGTAGACATACCGCTGTGCCACTGTGGGGCAGAAATTCAGTAAAACTAAAGTTTTAAACGCGTGATAAAACTAAAGCGTTATTTATATATGTAATTGAAAATAAGATTAAAAACACGCATTATTATTGGCAGTAGTTTGACATCTACAATGCCACGTCTTTTGATGTTATATGAGTTAGGTTAATTTCTTAAGGAAATAGGTTTCAGGTTTATTAAGTTAAATTTAATTGTATGTATTTACTAATGTCTGCAGCTTTATTGTATTGTTCAATAGGGGTTTATACCTTTTACATCAACACTATGTTAAAAGTTCGATGCTTCTCTTTTTGAGATTAATACAATTTATCATAATTTTTATATTGCGTCACCCATAACATAGCTTGTATAAATCAGTGGAAACAGTAATAACAAACAGTCTTGATAGGCTGTGATTAAATATAAGAGGTTGTGTTGTCTTGAAGTTAGTTTGAAGAATGTATAGTCTGAAGAAGCGAAAGTGTTGGTTGAAAAAGATTGGGCAGAGAAGTTTCTAATCTTTCTTTTATTATTTTTACATAAAATGCTTCTTTTCGGCCTATTTAAAACCCAAAATAAACTAACTAAAAAGCTTAATTCGTATGAGCCTTTAGTTTATTCCAAAATCAGTAAAAGTTCACAATTAATTAGTTGTGTCAAGCAACTAATTTCCACTTTTTGTGGATATAGTATATATTTAGCATAAGAGAAACATGTTAAACCCCAACAGTAAAGTACATTTCTTCAAAGCTTTGTGTTTACGTTTTCTCTACGGTTAACATAACAAAACAAAGAACCTCAGTGTTAATTATGATTTGTTTGATAACCCTCATTCATGCTGCCCTGCCATTAAAAATAAAAACACATCCTGTCATAACCACTTTCTGTGGAAGAATCTTTAATTATTACTAACCCACAACCTCACTTTGCGAACTTTCCAAGTATTTATAGAAATAATTAGTGAATTAAGTAATACTTAGAACTATGGATGTACATTACACGTTAAACTTGATCAACTAAACTTACATATATATTGTGAACCATGGTGTCTCTCTCCCGTTTGAAAAGCTGAGCATGCAGGCGAAACTCAACATTCACTTTTGAAATGACGAAGAACAGGCATGAATAATGTTGAGGACAAATTTTATTGGGCAAGCAGGATATTCTACAGTAAACTGTTAGGAATTAATCACAGCATCATTCACGTTTCAAAATGTGGCGTAACTTAAAGAATAAAAATATAGATTTACGGTATGTTATTGTTGAGTGGCTCTTATCATGATTGAAATGCTCAACAATTACTTTTTGTGGTGGGCAGTATAAGTAACTCAGAGCTTTCGCTCCGACTGAAACCAAAAGTGCAACACAATTAATTTTTTTAAAGTTGTGATGGACTTATTATTATATATTTATTTTAATATCAACGTTTGTTTAGATTAACTTTATATTTAGAAATATGCACAGCTTATACAGTTAAATATATATTGCAAAACTCCCGCCTATTCTCTAAAGCTGTAAAAGATTCTCGAGTGTATATATGTGTACCTAAACGCTAGTGTTAGCTCAGTATTGTTAGATACAACTGAAATTTCGAGAAACTCTCCACACGCCTATAAATATAACCAACGCAACACGCCAAAATAGGAGTATCTATTATTAGTTTGCTATAGTCAGTGTACTATAAACTTCGAAAGATATAACTGTGATTATTATAACGCTTATCAATAGGAAAACTTCACATATTTGACCTGTATAATTTACAAAGTTCCAAAAATTACAAATCATTTAACTTCAGTGGATTCTCATCGTACATTAGTATTTTTATGAGAACATTACATAACATCACGGAAAAAAACTCGGCGTGCGTGGTTGGTGAATAATGAAGGACAAAGCTAGCTAGCTTTCCGTTAAGCGAATTGTACCTTCATCAACTCGTAATTAACTTGCTCATCATGAACCCTCGATAAGATATCAAGGACGTTCCAGACCAGAAAGAGTACTTTATATTGCTTGCAAGTTTTGTGACGGATTTTTTATTATATATTTATTTTAATATCAACGTTTGTTTAGAATAAATTTATATTCAAAAACATACATAGCTTATACTGTTAAATATGTATTGCGAAACTCCCGCCTATTCTCCAAAGTTGTGGAGGATTCTCGAGAGTAAGAATCAACAATATATGTGTGCATGTAAACGCTTGTGTTAGCGTCAGTACTGTTACGTAAAACTGAAATTTAGAGAAACTCTCCACACGCCTATAAGTATAACCAATGTGACTCGCCAAAAAGGAAGTATCTGTTATTAGTTTGCTATATTCAGTGTGCTATAAACTTCGGAAGCTATAACTGTGATTATTATAATGATTATCAATCGGAAAACTTCAGATATTTGACCAGGAGCATTTACAAAGTTTGAACATTACAAACCATTTAAATTCAGTGGATTCTCATTGGACATTAGTATTTTTACGAAAATATTATATAACGTCATCATGGAAAACTCGGCGTGTGTGGCTGGTGAATAATGAAGGACAAAGCTAGCTAGCTAGCTCCCCGTTAAGCGAATTGTACTTACACCAACTCGTAATTAACTCGCTCATCGTGAACCCTCGGTAAGATATCGAAGAAGTTCCAGACTAGAAAGAATACTTTATATTGCTTGTAAGTTTGTGAAATCTTTGTATATAAATCATTGTTTGTAATAATTATTTGTAATAACTGTTATTATAAGTTGTATTGTTGTGTGTATATTAAAACGTATTCGTGTTAAAAAAATAAAACTGTGTGTGTGTATCAATCTTGTTGGCAACTATCATAAATTGACTATATATCGGCTTTTACTTAACTGCTAAATCCAAAGTACAATTTAACTTCTAAATTTAAAGTGCCATTTAGCTCGGTTTCGGGCTATTTGAAATTCTTATAGGTATCACTATCTATCCATCAAATGAATTGTTTGAAATCCGTGTTTCTTTAGTAAGTGTTGGGTAAGAAGTTACATAAACTTGCTAATAGTGACTTATCTTCAACGAATGATTACAGGTTGATTATATTTCATGAAGTTAGTTCAAGACAAGTTGCTGTTAGCTTTTCAATGATATGGTAGTTCTAGCAAGACAAGAACGAAGTCCGGTATTTCGTGGCAAAGTGCTATTGTTGTATTGCACTGATACTTACACTAGGTGATTTACACCCATTTGTGCATTACATGCACCGTATATTACACGCATACAGTACATATATCAAGTA